GCCTAGTGAGACCTAAATTGCTCTTCTGACCTATAGAAATGTAAACTAATAGGCTTGCCTTATTTTTAGCCACTAAGTTTGTGGCAATTTGTTAGGGCAGCAATAGAAAATGAATGTATTTTATGAATTAAACGTGCTGGTTGTAGCTAGAAGGGTTGGAGAAATTATGGAAGAAAGATGGATATGAAATTTCATTCTTTGCCCCTTGTGAAGAATAGGAATAAGAATATGAATATGAACTATTGTCTCGTGACATATAAGTCATGAGACTTGTTCCCTGTTATATTTTGCTGCTTAACCCCTGACGTGGAAGTCAGGAAGTAACCAGAGAGAATGCTATAAAGGACACTTGCCTTCATTTACTTTCAAATGTTTGTGAAATAGAAGGCTCCCTCCCAGATTGTAGAGGATTAATCTCAAAAAGGCAGTTTTCTACTTTGTGTTGGGTTTGGATTTTACAGCTAAAGCTGTGGGAGACTGAGCCTAGGTAGTGAACTGCTTTGTCCTTTGACATAATTCAAGCTCCTCTATATCACAAGATACCTTGTAAACCACTGCTCCATCCTTTACCTAGCACAGACTTTTGCAGCAGTGCTGAGGGAGTGGTAGTCACAGATGACTTGCTTTGTGCCTTTGGGTTTCTCTTCTTTCTACTCCTCTTAAACTGTTCTTAGAATGATTGCCTTTGCTTCTTTACCCTGTGTTTTTCCTTTCAAGAAGCAATAATAAATATATTGTTTAATTTATGAGGGTATCATAATAGTATGTTCCTCTGCCTGAAATGTATCCTTAAGTGCTACCTTAGTTTCTACCTTAATTGAATTGGATAGAGACAGCAGTCTGCCATTGTTAAAGTTAATGACCCAATGCTTTACAAGACAAGGCACATTTACTGGCAAATAGATTTTGGTAATTGTTCTGTGCAATGGTGAGAATAACAGTTTGTGCATGGATTCCTCCTGTCCTGCAGTTGGGGCTCATCTAGAGGAGATTGAAGACCAGGGTCCAGTTGAAACTACAGAGGAGGCTACCTAGGATTGATGAGATTAGCAAGCCCCATAAAGTCTTTCTGTTAAGAACATTTTGCTCAGGGAAACAAACCCCTTAGATGGGGGAAAGGATGTTTTCAAGGTGATGATGACTTAGGGGTGCTTGCTCTAGGTACCAGAATTTTTGAAAAAATTGTTTATTTTTGCTCTCATCTAAGGAAAGTGATCTGTTACTGAAACTAGACATTTCCACTGGGGGATTCAACTTTACCTTTCTATGGGGGAAGAGAAAAATAAAAAGTCTGAAAAATCCTTATGTTTAGGACCAGGGTTGAGGTCCGGTTTTCAGGTTGACTAAACTTGCTCTTCGATAACCTTCCCTCAATAGGGGTGAGAGCTGTGGATCTTCTGTTAAAACTGGCCACTGTAAACATAATTTTAAATAAATTTCTGTGAATATTAGCACAAAGTCAAAAGTTCTGTTTCAAAAATGTCTCTAGTTGCCTTGCATTAACCATGACAAAAACTGAAATGGGGAAATCAAGTAGGGTCAGATTGAAGGGGCTGGAGAGTTTTGGAGAGTAGAGGCTCTGGGCCCCTCAGTGCTACCTATTCCCCTGGACTTCTAAGCTCAGTGGCCACTTGGGAGTGCAGCTCCTGCTTCCCCTTGGTCTGTGCTAACTACAAAGAAAATGGCAGAAAATGTTCTTATGTTCAAAACATAAGAACAGCAATCTTTATTATTTATCCAAGGGTGATATTTATATAAAATATGTATCTGGAGTTTACATAGGACAGTATATGAGAAAGATGAGTTAATTTGTAGAGAAAAGACCAACAAAACATCTTCCTACTTGAGAGATGTCATTTAAAAGCAGATGGAGGGCCAGTGTTTCTGACTGAATGTATCACACATACACAACAGAGTGAAGTTCTACTTTTTCCTTTTTAAAATCCTATACATTGTGAAGCTTCTAGATTGACGATGTATATTTGTAATTTTAGTTTAGAGGAAAATAAGCACCTACCTCATTTAAGAAATAGAACATGACAGATGCTTTCCATTCCCCACGAATCCCTTCCAAATTGTACTGCTTCCCTCCCTCACGGAGAAAACGCCTTCTGCATTTTGTGTAATCATTTCATTTTTAAAGGATACTTATCTCTACATATCTCTGAAATTGTTCAGGTGTATGTAGCTTCATTCCATTCTTTTTTTAGCATTCTATATCATTTTTCATCTTATAAATAAGGTACTCTACAGTTGATGGAAACTTGGATCATTTCCAGTTTGTGGTCTTTCCAGCTGCTATAAATATTGGTGTGCATATCTCACATCACACATAAGCAAAAGTTTCTCAGGTAGACATCTAGAAGTGAGTTTGTCATTTCATAGGATGTGTGAATGTTCAGTTTTACTGCTTAATGCCAAATTATTTTCTAAAGTGGTTGTACCAACTCTATTCCCACCAGGAGTGCATGAGAATTCATATTGCTCCACACTCTTGCTAACATTTCATATCATTAAGAGTTCCTATGTTTCACTACTCTGATGCCAAACAGTATATTGCAATTTTGTTTGTAATTATATTGGATCGTCTATGAGGTTGAACATCTCATGTCCATTTAGATTTCTTCTGTGAAAACCCTCTTCATGATTTTTTCTTTTTTTTTCCCTAGTTTTGATTTTTGTTATTGACTCATAAGAACTCTTTAGACATTCTAGATTAGTGTTGACGAATGGAAATATAATGCCACCTGTGTAATTAAAAAATTTAAAGGACACATTAATTATGTAAAAAGAAACAGGTCAAATTAGTTTTCATAACTTATTTAACATATTTTATATTTATCTAAATATACCTAAATATCAATATGAAAATTATTAGTGAAGCCTTTGAAATCAGGTATAATACTTATGGCAAATTTCAGTTCCTCCTAATCACATTTCAGTTGCTCAGTAGTCACATGGGTGCTTGTGGCTGTGGAATAGCACTGAGCATGTCTAGGCTCGTCCCTCATCAGCTACATTTTCTTGTATTTGTATTTTTACATGTTGTTTCTTTTGCAAATGGAAGTTCTTTACTTGGGAATAGTCATATTTTATCAATTTTTCTTTGTGCTTATTTGTACCTTAAGAAATCCTTCTCTACATTAAATGATAAAAATATTGATCTTTATTTTTTTGCCTAAGAGTTTTAAGTTTTGGCCTTTACCTTTAAGGTCTTGATGCATACAGATTCAATTTTGGTGTGTTTTTGAGCCATAGGTTCAATTTAATTTTCTATACAATCAATGGTCTAACTCTTTATTAACCTCTTTGTGCCATTTCACTGTGTGACAACCTATTAGATTCTTGTCAGAGAGCCAGTTAGGTTCCCATCATAAGTATGGACATGTTTGTAAACTTTCTTCTTCCATTTATCTGTTTGGCTTCCTGTTTTCAAATACCACACTACTTTAATTACTGTAACTTTAAAATTAGCCTTATTATCTAATGAGGCAGAGCTCCTGGCTTGCTTCTTTCTCTGGAGTTTCTTGGTATATTTGACCCTTTGCTTTCAGATATAACTTAAAATTTGTTGTATTCTGTGAAAATTTTGTGGCCCTCCCATTCTCATGGATGAGCTGTCTGGACTAGGATGAATTGCTTTACCCTGCTAATGCTGACCTGCTTTTTAATTCTGTATGATGGGAGTGGCACAGTTGCATTGTTACAGGAATGTTTTGAAGATTAAATGAAATAAAGCATGCAAAACCCCTAGAACAGTGCCAGGGTTGTAGCAAATTTGCAGTAAGTAAATCATAGTTTTATTCTTAAGAATAGAGAGAAAAGGGCCTCCCTGGTGGCGCAAGGGGTTAAGCACTGCACTATGAAGCAATCCGCAGCCTCTGAAGCACGAGTTCAATCCCTGGCTGGCCAGGGAGAAACCTACATGGCGAGGCAGACCTCTCCTGTCTCGCCCGCTGCTCCCCTCAGCAGTGTATTTTGGTCTGTCTGCCTGTTCCGTTCCCCACTCTGTCTCTGGTGGATTCTCTCACCCACTGCATCTCTGGCCTGTATCCCAGATCTTGTATGCATAAATAAATAAATCTTTAAAAAAAAGAATAGAGAGAAAAGCTAGTTTTTAATTATGCAGGACTACAGTATAGGAACTATACTTATTACTACTTTTATCTTCATGTTTTGATGTAGGCTTTCATGCTTAGTGTGAATAATGCACATATGTAGTACTTTACACTTTTAAAAATATTTTCACTCATTTGGATTGTTCAGGAACCTTGAGAAACAAGTTAGCATATATATATATTTAGAAATATTGGAGACTGGAAAATCAGCTAAGTCTTGAGAGTTCTATCAGGGCATTGAGTATGAGGGTAATAAGGACCAGAATCGTCATCTCAGCCATTTATATGCCAACGAAGATGATTACAGGTGAGGGTGAGAATTAAAATTATCAGATGAATTATTGATATGTCCAGCTGAATTTGAACCTCTGATGAATGATGTATAAAATATCAGTATAAATAGCCCCCAATATTGCAAAAGACTCAAAATTTTCATTTTTAATTATTTAAAATTATTTAAATTCTTTCAAATTTAAGTAAAATTATTTCAATTTAAAATTTCATCTTAAATTATTTCATACTAAAATTTACTCATTTATCTGAAATTCAGATTTATCTGGGCATCCTAATTTGAGTTGCTAAACCTGGCCATCCTAGGTATGATATGTCGCTGTTATGTCTTCAAATTGGGATTGTTTTCTAGAGATTTAGTGCATAAATTACCCTTAGATGATGTACATTACAATACTTTCTTTTGGTAATGTGGAAACAGATCCAGATCTAGAGACTCAAAGTTGGATAATGGCAAAAACTGCATGATTCTGCATTCTTTTCTAGATTGCTTCTAAATGTGCACAAATAGTCAACTTTTTGGTCATCCCTTTTATCCTAGCATGGTGGGAACCTCTACCATGCTGACTATATACTTCGGTTATGTGGCAGGTCCAGGATAGTGTCTGGTCACAGAGGAGTTAACTCAGGTCTGAAATGCTCAGGATTCTGAAAAAGTCATGCTGGACTGGAGTTGAAGACCATAAGGTAAGCAGCCGGCCTTTGTGGGCCTCTGTTGAAATGACAGTCTTGTCAAAGCCTTCAGTTACTATGGTTATAGGAAGTAGAGACACAGATAAAGGTATAGAAATATTCAGATAAAAAGAAATAAGAAATGATGAAGGAGAAGGAAAGAATAACTGATGAGAAAAGATACTGCCGCCTCGTTGAATCCAGAAGGGACTGAAGGGCATAATGGCAGGGAAGAAGTGTAGTTCCATCAGGAGAAGCAAGTGTTATAACAAGACTTAATATCAGAATTTTTTTTCTGAGATGAGGACTCTTAGACTGAGAAAGGGCTCGCATGGGCCTCTTAGACTGATGAAGAATCCTATTGCTGGAGTAGGTACTGAACAAAGCAATGGAAAGTGAACTGCAGGAAACACTCCCCTGGGTATCTTTTGGGATGGACTTGACACTCTGATAGGTTTCTTCCTTCTCTTAGTGCCCGTGAATCACTGGTTCATTTGAAAACATGATGGTTAAAACTAAAGGAAGCAGAAATTGAGGATTTAACTGAAAATAATTTTTTTTAAAGATTTATTTATTTATACAAGCACTGGGTGCAGTCAGAGTGCGGGAGGGTGAGAGAATTCACCAGAGCCAGAGCGGGGAACAGAACAGGCAGACTGATGAAATACACTGCTGAGGGGAGCAGCGGCCGTGGCAGGAGAGGTCTGCGCGCAATGCGGGACCCTTGCTGGTGGCCGGGGATCGAACCAGCACTGCAGAGGCTGCGGGCAGCTTCGCAGCCCAGCGCTCAACCGCTGCGCCACCAGGGGAGGCCCTGAAAGTAATTTTCATACAAGTAAAGCATGGTCTAGAATTTCATTGCATGCGTGTGTGCATGCACACGTGTGTGTGTGTGTGTGTGTGTGTCATCATTAATCTCGTATAAACTGAGCAACTAGTCTCAGAATTCTCACTAGGAGATAGCTTTGTTTCAACCTTGATAAGCTGTTCTGTTCCTAACCTCAAGTTGCAAATTATTTTTATATGACACTTGGATGATTATGCCTATTTGACTTCACTTTTCTAACTAAATAGTCTTTTCAGGAAATAGATCTCCTGACTTACTTTAAAGCTCTAAATAAACATCCTAAGTATCTATGTGCTGTAAAATCACCTCCTCTATGATGCTGATCCAAGGCATGAAAATTACCCTCCTGGTGCTAAATGCCAAGCCTGGTTGACCTTCCCAATTTTTCTGCTACAAATCTGAAAAACAAACCCAGCTGCTCTGGAGAAACATCAGGCATAGGCACACATTAGATCAATGTTTATGTTTTTCTTTCATCGCAGATGGCCTCACAGGAGATGAAGTACATAAAAACTCTACCTGTTAGCAGGCCTTGATTGCTGTCACATTATTTCCTACATCAGTTCTAATATTCCTGGTAATAGATGTTTTTGAAAGGCCATTTTGGTAACGGCTATTATCTCTTGCTTTGTAACTTTCTTACCCTCCTTGCAATGAATTACCAAATACCATTGACTCTACCTTCTCCCCCTTACACCTCCTTCCACCCCTACCTCTCCAGCCCCAATGTCACTACCTCCCATCTCCTAGCTCCCCTGCTGCCCAAGGTAGAGCAGCAGCCACATTAAGCTTCCCAAATCAGAGCACTGATCCGATTTCTCTCCTGCTCAGAATCTGGCAATAGCCCCTGTTTTCTGGGAGGTGCTTCCCAAACATCAGTCATTCACATACCACCTCCATTATCTTTGTTTTCCCCTTCTGTCTATGCTCTCCTTTACTTCATATTTATCTTTAAATGGACTTCTAAAAACTTTTTACTTAAATATATTGTAAAAGGAAACTTTATCTCTAAATAGAAACCAGGATCATCCATCATAAATAGAAACTAACAATAAACTCAATGAAAGGAAAACAAAAGTAGTATCTTCTAAGGAGATAGTACTGCCTGAGGCTGTACACCGAAGGTCTGCTCCCTCCACATTTACAATGGTGGTTGATTAATGGGTTATCTTCCACTGGTCCTTTCAGATCCATTTTCCTTTTTCTCATTCTCTTCCCTGGAGGCTGAGCTCTCCCTAGCCTTCTGGTTCCTGTTGGGTTCAGCCTATGGGAACCCAGCAGAGGGAGGGGAGTAAGGGTTCCAGGGCTGTGTTCCCTGTCCCCCTGCCCCATTTCCAGGTCACCATAGCCTGGCCTATGCCCTAGATAAAGGTTCCTGCTCAATTTTAGGTGAATTGTTCAACATGGCCCTCCCCTTCTGGGTTATAGTAAACTTTCCCTCCCCTGTCCCTTCAGGCCTGAAGACAGTGGCATCTGTACATTTATGAGCCCTGGGTTACTGAGCTTCCCCTCATGACACCCTAAACCCATACTTTGTCAATAGTACTTTACTAATCCCTTCTGAGGGTCTCCGATTTTAATGGTGGGGAAGCGCTCTTGTGACTCTGACTTGTTCTAGATAGGCCTGCATCAACTGAGATGCTCCTTTGTTCATCAAAGATTTTAGGGGGACTGGTTGATATACTCACTCTAGCAGCTGGTACTATGTGTTTTCCACCTTGGAGAAGAAACCCCCATGTTCTTTGTATAGGATTCAAGCTGTACTAGAATACCATTTACCCTTCTCTTCCTGTTTGGTAATATACACCTTTAGTTACAGACAAAATGGGTTCAAGCTAATGCCATGAACCCATTAAGGAAAGCCAGAACTCAATGATATATGTGTATCTGTGTATAAATACAATGTGTAGTGGCCACTGGTTTATCATCTGGGATAAAACTGTCTTCAATTTTAGTCATTCTTCCCTCAGAGATGCCTTCCATTGTATATCCTACTGAAAGGGTTATTTAAAGGGTAAAGAAAACATGTAAAATGACTCATAATTGTGCCCAACACCAAATAAAGACTCAACATACACTATGGGTGGTTGGAGGGGATTATTCATTAGCCAGGGAAAGGCTGGGCTTTGACGCTCTAAGAAAAGGCAACATTTGTGTTTGCATGAGACCATCTGAGTTCCTACTCCTAGTAGAAGATCTTCCAAAGCCTAGAGCTGTGAATACAAACAAGCTTGAAGGGAAACACTTATTGTAATACCAGAGTAGGAGCTGAAGGTGTTTGGAGAAAACAGGAACTACCATAGACAAAGTATAGGTCAATCTGGAAAATTCAGGCAAGCAATCTGCTAAGATTTTACAAATGAAACATTTTTTTAAAGATTTATTTTATTTTATTTTATTTTATTTTATTTATGCATATAAGAGCTGGGGTGTAGGCCAGAGGTGGGGGGTGGAGAAGATTGACCAGAGACAGAATGGGGAGCAGAACAGGTGGATCCACTGAAATAGACTGTTGAAGGGAGCAGTGGGTGAGTCAGGAGAGATCTGCTGCGCCATGTGGTCAGCTCCCTGGCTGGGGATCGAACTCATGCTGCAGTGGCTGGTGATCTTCATAGTACTGAGACTTAACTCCTTGCACCACCAGGGAGACCCATACAAAGGAAACATTTTTTGGTACATTTTAGAATTGAACTAGAAACATAGAGGATTATGTAGTTTGTCAACAAATATTTGCCATATTGAATCCACTTTGGATGCATAACACCATTAACTCAACTTAAAGATGGTGTTGGATGCAACCTGTATTTAAAAAATAGACTATTATGTATTTGTGCCCTAAGAGAATTTACAACTGACACATTAAAATAAGGATTTATCTGTTTGTTTTGATAAAAGGAATGTAACTTGTAATTTGAGGAAGGTTGTTCACATCACTCTACCTTGTCTATTTTAAAGATACTAGGGGAAAGAAAAGGTTTAGTTTTTGGTATTGTCTTGGGTCTTTCACTTTGAGTGAATGTCACTGACCCCAAGAGGATTTGCTTTCTGGTGATTGATAGCCAATTGATACAATAACCAGACTTGGTAAAGAAGCACATTAACTTCACAGCTTGACAAAAAACAGTGTAGGAAAAATTTGTGTTAAATAGTACCTACCTGCTCAGGGGTGGGGGAGGGAACTATATAAAGCCAAAAAAGGGAACAGGGACTTCTTCAAGGATGAGCCATGGATGATATTTTTTCTTCCTTATTACATGTTTGCCCCTCTCAGCTAGACTGTGCAGATCCAAGCAGATTTTGTTAGCACATGACAGGGGTATCCAGGGACTCCAAGCTGTTAAGAGGTACTTGATATAAAAGGGGTCCTGCCATCTGTGCACACAAAGACAAAGGAAGCATTCTCTTAGTGTGACAAGATTGATAATAGAATCAGTTTGTGGGAAGGAGGGAGGGAAATAGTTCAAATACTTGTTTCCTAGTAAAACTCCCCAAATTACCCACTAACTCATGGGAAAATACCCAGTCAAACAGAGTTGGTTCAATGTGGGACCATGGAGGCCCAATAGCTTGCCACACATCTAAGATAACTTCTAGAAGGGAACCACAGGGAAGGAGTTAGGCAGGTCCCAGAGAGTTGGGGCAGAAGGAGAGACTCAAAATACAACACATGAAGATAATGACAGCCATTGTCTCTGCCAAGGACTGGCAGCAGCCTCCCACATGTCCCTTACCCATGCGTCTCTGCCAATTATCTCTTTGCTACATGTCTCTCCTCCACATGTCTCCTATGTCCCTTTCTCTCTTTGTTCCACTTCTCTTTCTATATCCACCTTACTCCTTCCTAGCAGCTCCCTACTGGGGAAGTCTGCTTCATGGCATGCTGGGACTTATAATCCAAGGTAACTGTGCATATGTGGGAGCAGGGAAAATAGTACCTGTTCGCAGAGCAGGTTTCTCTCCCTTTTATGGAGATGCATTCTGGAACAGCGTGAGCTGGTTTTGAAATCTAACCTTTAAACAGCAGCAGCTCCTGCAAAAGATTATACCTAGAAAAGAACAATAACTGGAAGAACATGTACTCAGTGAAATATTAAAATTTGCATTTTTGTTTGGGATAAAGGTTTAGCGACCGGTAATAAATAGATATACCTCCATTTTTCTGGGAAGG